TATATATATATATAACATGAACTATTTTCGACAAAGTTTTAATCGTCTTAAGAACATATTTCAAGTCTTAGTTTCTTTTAAACAGTGAAAGAGACTCTAAAACTTCATTGATTTATATGATTTTATAAATCAATAAATTTAAGTTTGTATTATTGATTTCAATAATTGTATATAATTTCATTTTGTTGATATCTGTAACCATTATAAAATTGTTGATTTTACTAGTTTAGTTGTTAAAACTCATTAAAAAAATTAAAGTTAGTTAAGCTGAAAAAAACAAAAGTTGGTTAGTATTTAATATTATTAGTTTACATGTTAAATCAATAGTCAAGCAACTCAACAGATTGAAACAAGTTTACATGTTGCCTTTTATATATTTTTTAATATAAATGGAATAAAAAGAAAACTTGAATTTTAAAATCACTTAAAACGTTTGAGGTATAAGTTTGCAAATTTGAAATTTGATTACTATCTAATGGTATCAACCCTAAATCTTATTATTTACATAGCATTTAGTTGTAAATATCAGAAATGTCATCCACCAATATAAATTCTTTTTAACACCCTACAAAAACTTTTTTCAGATATATCATCAACAAAGAGTGCATATTACATAATTGTTTATTTTTTTCAAGTAAATAATACATGTATTCATTTATGTTAGTTCGTTAATATTAAGTTATACTCATTTATGTTTGTTTAACATCTGAACAAAGGAACAAAATAATTTTTTACACGAACAAACAAACAATAAAAATTTCTTTCAATTAGTTTAATTTCTTTTATGTGTTTATGTTCTTGTTCATTCGTTTGTTCGGTTAATTTTAAAAGAATGAACATGAACATGTCATTATTCATGTTCGTTTGATATGTTTCTAGTCCTAAGCAAAGATAACATTTTTTCACTTGTATCAAAACCTTATATTCTTGCAAAATCAAATCTCTTTATACGGTTTTGTAACATGATAGTTTCTTTGTAATAAAAAAAAAATATTATAGGTAGAAAACTTCGATCAGATTATTAGAAAAATAAGTTAATTTAGGTTTTGTATTAGACATTCAATCGGTTGAATGAGTAAGAACAAATATAACACGGTTACGTTCAAATGAGTTAAAGGTCATTCAAAATGTAATAATAAAAAAGTGATGTCGATGTCTCAGACAAAGAAGGGGCCAAACCTCATATTCTTAAAAATGTATAATACATATAATATATTGTTTTCTTTTATACTTTGTAATGTATGTTTATACTAAAAACCCGAATATTAAAAAAATTATATTAATTTATATATAACTGGTCAAATGTGTAACTTGTTATCAAAAGGAAAGGTGTATTTAACATTAGTTTATAACCCGTGCCAAACACGGTTACAAAATTAATTAAACTTTCAATGTAAAACTCAAAATTATCAATCAATTAGTTTAAATAAATTGTTATTTAAGAGATATTTCTTTAGTTATAAAATTATAATCGTTGATTTAAATAAATACGTGACCTTATAATCTGTATTAATTTTATTTTAATGTTTATTTTAATGTTATTAATTTAATGAAATTAGAGTGAGAAACTTAAAATTTAAAATTTGAAATAGAGAATCAATAGGTTGACAAATAGCATGACATTAATTAGAAGGCCTAATAGGATGACCAATGAGAAAAGAAGAATAAAACTATATTTTTATTAAAATATGGATTAACAAATGCTTATTGAAAAAATATATTATTTTTTAAACTATATGATATAATTTAAAAAGTGAAGCAGACATGTCGACAAAGAAGGGGCCAATGTGTATGATGAAATTGGAGAATTTGAAGGGGTATTGTACTGGTGGCGGAAATGGATGGTTGAGCATCTTCAATAATAAGAAATCATTTGTAGTAATCAGTTTAAAATTTAGACGTTACCTTCAATTTGGTTTTATTTGGATAACGACAATACAGCAGGCATTACACAATGCTATTATTTTAAACTTTTTTTTAAATTCAAATTGAAGTTTCATTTTTTGCCCAAATGTTGCACGCTTGATGTTACCTGTACGATATTATTATAAAAGATATATGAAACGTTTATGATTAGTGTGTGGGGTCTTTTCTATATGGCATGTGTTGTGTTTTTACGTATTGAAATATACCTGTGGATAGGAAAACGTATTAACTGAGAAGTGATCTTGTGAAATGTTCACGAGCGGCTACCAAGGCTTGAGTAATTGTCTGTAACCATTTGGAACAAACTTTTCATTAGGAGATTAAAAGGAAAATATAATTTTTTTAATTTTTTTTAGGGGTAGCAGCAAAACTTGCTTTTAAGTGTAAATGATAAATGAACCGGCGTTTTTTAGCTTTTAAAAAAATAATTTTCTAATAATGTCTTAAGGACACACATAAGAAGTATTAATTATAATAAATATTCGATAAAATTGAAAAAATGGTCCCTGTGGTATGTATTTTTTTGGGGTTTTAGTCCAAACCATAACTTTTTTGGATTGGTGATCCTTTTGAGCTAGTTTCGTTGCGTTTTTTGTCCCTGTGAATAGTGAAATGACTGTAATACCCTTGGGGTATTTATTTTCCATTTTAAATTCATTTTTTATTAACTTAATAATTATTTATTCATTTTAATTATTAAAAAAATAAGAGGGCCCACCCCTCACTCTCTCTCTCCCCCTCATGATTCTTCATTTACGACCAAGAACTCCCCACAGGAGTTGGAGTCGTTTTTCCGGCCACCAAGACATTCGAGGTTACCTACTGCCACCGCCCGACACAACCTATTCTGACCATCCTCACAGTCCCTTTTCAATTCAAATCACTTCAAAAATCCCTAAAGCACATTCATATCGGGTTGTAGACATCTAGACAACATTTCATCAAGAAGCTTCATCGCTTCAGTAATCCCACCGTCAAAAATGGTGGCCTCGATCAAAATTGTGTAAGTAATCACCATAGGTTTACAGTTATCCTCCAGTAGCTTATCCAACACCTTCATAGCAAATCCAAGTTTCCCTCTACTACATAGACTCCCGATCAGAATATTGTAAGTAACCACGTCCGATGAAAACCCTTAATTTCTCATCCGATCTAGCACTCTATTGGCTGAATCGATTTGATTCAACTTACAAAACCCGCTGAAGTAGACCCAATTTTCAGATCGATCACTTCCATCATTAACTTAATCGATTCAATATATTTAAACTAGTATCAAACTCGATTGTAGGAGATGAACATCAAAACACCGCCAGAAGATGTATGACACCAAGATGCAGGTGAATCTGGTGACGATTTTAAAGGGAAATGCCGGATCAAAATCTCCATCGATGGAAGATGCTTGGGGGGTGCCGAAGGGGCTTTTTAGACAGTGGAGATGGCAGCAGTAGAGGAGGCTGAAGACCACAGTGGAGATGGCAGCGGTAGAGGAGGCTCGATGTTGTTTGTGTTGGGGTAGCGGGAGCATATGTAACCTCCGTGAGCAGCATCGTCATCATTGAACCACCACATAACACCACCCTCCTAACTCTTCGAGTCGCACCTGAGGAGTTTGTGGCCTCACTGTCGTCGGAGAAGAAGGATGCACCGACGTTTAGTCGCTACCTCAGTGTGTGTGTCTTTTAATCTCAGTGTGTGTATGTTTTGATGAAGAAGACGATCAAGTAAAAAGGGTAAGGGCCCAAATTATGAGAGAGAAAGAAAGAGGGTCCAAATTAATTAATTATTTTCTTTTTATTTTAAATTAAAATGGAAAAACATAAAAAATATATCAGAAATGGCATTTTAGTCTTTTCAATTTTTCAAGGGACCAAAATCACAAGCAAACATAGTCAAAAAGACCACGAAACCAAAAAAAGTCGGGATTTAGACTAAAACCTCAAAAAAATGCATACCACAGGGACCATTTTTGTAATTTTGTCTAAATATTAGGATAATTAAATATGAAATTCATTGATTATATGGAATATTTCTTATTGAAAAAATATGAAATATGTTAATTATGAAGATTATTTTATAGAATTAATACATTTTATATTTAATTATGCTAATATTTTTCATATTTAATATTTTTTATACGTGTCCTTATTACAAATATTAAAAAATCCCTTAAAAAAATCTGGTTAAATGATTATGATTTTTAAAGCGGCGATAATTATTTTGGAAAACATACGTTCCAAACACCATCTCAAGAGATGAATAACAATTATGCAAACAACTTAAAAAAATGGAAATATACACTAAAATCCTTAACTTAAAATAAATAAATAAATAAAGCCGGTTCTACCGATATGACATTAACAATTTAACATTGGTAGCTGACCAATCTTAAAAAAAAAAAAAGATAAAAATATGAGCTTTAGTTTTAAAGTAAATTACAGCTTACAGATGTCGCCGTTATGCTTAAATGAAAATTCTGATTAGGTCCATGAAAGAAATGGTTTTCATTTTTGATCCTCATAGTTTCAATTTTTTTATTCAAGTCCTTCCCATTAATACCGTCAAAATAAAACTATTAAATATGAGTAAATTACCGTGTTGCCCATTATTTTAATATATTTTTAATAATCTTTATTTTTATTGGGCCACGTCATCCCATCTTATCAAAGGATTTGACAAAATTACATAAATAGTCCCTATAGTTTTCTAAATTTTCATATTTAGTCCTCAACATTTTTCATAAAGATGAATGATTCATGTGGTTTCAATTTCTTGTGTTGTTGATCTATAACCCCAAATAAAAGGAATTTTATACACATTTTAATTTCTTTTATCTTTAACTTTTGTTTAATTTTTATTAAAAAAAGGAAAAATTAAGTCCCAACAATACATAAATTTAATTAATTTTTTTTTGATAATGAAATGAAAAATCAATTGTGCTTGTTGCATGTGCTCTTTGAGTTTGATATATTTCAGTTTAATTTTTTTTATAATGTTAGTGAGACATGCAATAAAACTCTAATTTTGAGCTGTCTTGGATCCTTATTTCTTTGTGTTTGATATGTTGTGTAATATTTGTATGTTTTTTTTTTTATGTATTTTACGTGTTCGATTTTTTGATTTGAAAGATGAAAATTTTGAAAGACATATGATTAAAATGGAAAGTGGGCGGTGAAAATGGTGTTGGTAGAAGGTGGAGGTGGCGGTGGAATGGACGGGAAGCAAGGAGAAGAAAGGATGGGGCCGGTATAAGTGTAACGAAGCTATAAAATAAAATAAAAAGGGTGTAAAAGTCATTGTATATGGATCATAGACCAACCACGCAAGAAAATAAAATCATAGGGCCATCCGTGTAACGAAAAAAAGTTAAGGACCAAATTTGTGAATCTAGGAAACCGTAGGGACTATTTATGTAATTTTTGGCAAGGAACTTTTTGTCAAGAGCTGCCAAATAGAGACGACGAAAGGAAATTTAGAGCAACTTTCCAAGTGTTGTACCCATGTTCCACGATTATAAAGTGGAGATGACTGATGAGATTTAGAATTTAAAAAAAATATATAAAACATATATGCATTTTAAGAGTAAACTTGTACCCATGTTCCAATTACAACCACATGGAGCCACCAAAGACTTCTTGAGCTATGCAACTCAAGGGAACGTATATAGGATGTGGCCCAGATAGCTGAAAAGCTGCACAATCAACCAAAAGACCTTACCAAAGACCTTAACTTGTGACTTGTGAGGGATAAAAAAAAAAATCTTTCATGGACCCAATCGATAATTTTCATATGAGCATAGAGACGATGTCTGTAATTTACTCTTTAGTTTATAAAAGAGAAAAAGAAAAATATGTAGTTACTTTGATTCAAAAGATTTACTAAATAACCCAAAATTTTCCTTATGCGTCCAAATAGCCACCAATTTCGTACTAACTGATTGTGAAATGCACTATTAGTTGCGAGATAAGTCACCCTATTTAAAGCATTTTTTTAGACTTCTTACTTTTACACCATTTTTTTTTCTTGAAAATTTGTCTCAAAGTAAAACTTTATTTCGTATTATAAAGCTTCTTTTTGCAGTGAAAATGGCTTTTGAAGATCAATATAGCAAAAGAACTTCAAACAAAATGCTTTTTTTGATTAAAAAATTATTGACTTTCGTAATAATATAAATGATTCATATTACAAAGAACAATTTCCTAGTAAAGGATTTTTTAGATTTAAAATTTTTGGTTTGAGTCATACAAAAAGGCAATTTCAAAGCAAAAAATAATTTTGCATCGGCTTATTGTGAAATTGGTGGCAATTTTGTGTTATAACTTATAAGACAATTTTTGGGATATTTTGTAACAAATCTTTAAGTCAAAGTGGCTACATTTGTCTTTTTCTCGTAACATAATTGATATATTTTAATTAGCATAATTAAAGATACAATAGTGGAATTAATTTGTATGTACCTGTTCAGACAAGGGAGTCTCATCATCCATGATGTTTGTAACTACTTTTCTGGCAATTGTATTTCCATCCGTTTCAAGAATCATTCTGTCACAGTTTTTAGCAAGTCATCAAACATTTCATTATTTTGATACATATAAATGCATACACACATGTGTGTAAAGTTATGAATGAAATTGAAGATAAGATTAATATGCACAAAACTATGATGATTATAAAGAATGCAAAAAACTATCATGACAACATATTTTCTATTTGTGTTTATTTAGTTTTCTTGGGCATCATGAATATGCTGTATGCATGCTGTCATTGTCCGCTTATCACTATCCTAAGCCTACCTTAGAAATAACCAAATAAAAAGAGGAAAGAAATATGCCTAGTATAAGCCCATGCTACCCTAAAAAAGAAAAGAATTATGCCCATAATTTCATGCTACCCTAAACAATCTGAGACTCCATAAATGGCTAAAATAGAAACCCGTACTCTATCTTTTAGTTAATAAAGGTGTTCAAAAAGTTTAGGACAAAATCCTAAATGGAAACTTTTTATGGATAATGAGAAATTATTTAATTATATACTCAAGTCAACAAGTGGTATTTAATTACCAATAATACATGCTTTAGCATTTTCAAATAATTCATTGTCAAAAGGTCTTGTTTTTTAAGGTTGTGTTTGTTACACAAGACAGAACTGGACACACTTTCTCTGGCCATTTACGATTTTAATGTTGAGAAGGGTATAAATGTCTTTTGCACATACGAGATACCAAGAGCGAGTATCTGTCCCACCTTATTCTGCACACAGGCATGTAAAAACTAAGGCCTAAGCTAATTTGAGGGCATTTTTTTCTTATTAAGAACCAGGGTTGACTAGAACATGAACAAAAAAGCAAGAAAATGAAACTAGAGTGACCGATTCAAATACAAAATGTAGTTACCTACCCTCCATCAACAATCTCATCAAGGCATAAAAACATCATATCTAAGTTTTCAAATGCCTCCCTTTGGTCAATGTTACCCCTGCATCAAGAACTTAAGGAGATTACACCAGGAAATGGCAAACGTTGATTATTGAATATCTGTAAGACTGTAACAATGCAGAAACCTGAGTAGAAGAATAACTGCTTCAGAGAAACCCTGCAGGACAGTGGCCAAGGCCAATTCATTTTCATCATCACCTCCAGTTACAAAAAACTGCAAGTCTTGTATGAACTTATACACCACAACATTATTCTCAAACATCAATATCTCCGCTGCTTATAAACAGAGATAAAAAGGAGAAAAAAGTCATTTTGATTTAATGTCGTTGAAAGCATCTTAATAGGCAAGAATTGTGAAAGATAAAAAGTTAAAAACCATACGTTCAGTTCGTGCATTAGTCTTCTGTGTTTTACTGAAGATGGACCTTTCAAAAGCTAACTTTTCACTGTTGGTTTCCCATTCATCTGTATAATACTTAACTGCTACACGCCTTCCTTCAGAGTCCAGAAGAAGGACATTCTTAATGATAGGACATGCATCCTATAATACAACTCGATCAGAAACATTACATATATATGTCAATCAGTAGATGAAAATATGAGATAGTTCCAGAAATATTACACTACAGAAACCAATAACACCAATTTTAGTGGCATTGACAAGTATGAGGAGCCAATTTTCACCCCAAACTTCATTTCCTGAGGATCTAATTGGGATAAAAGCTGAGCCAGACTGAAACTGATCAAATGCAGCTAATTTTTGCCACATTTAACACTGTTATTACTATAAATTACAGCTTTAACTGCTACATTATGAATAAAAATTGTTTGAAAGCCAACGGATGACTATAGATGCTCTAGAAACATTACATAAATATGTCAAGCTAGAGATGCAATAATTTAGAGAATAATACAGCACAGAAACCAATATGTAGATGCCATTTCCACCTAAACTTCGTATGAGTGAGGATGTAATAGGGATAAAAAGTGAGCTGAATCCGAATCACCTCTGACTTTGAACATTCAAACAGAAACAGATCAAACTTAAATAATTGGTGCGACATCAACTCTAAATTACAACTTCAATTGCTACATTCTAAATTATAATTGTTAAAAACCACCATACGACTATAGATGCTGCGTATTGAACCTCCTACCACTGAAAGAAAGCCTATACATGCTCTAAGAAACATTGCATAAATACGCGTAACACACGCAATCAAATAACAGAAGAAGTTGAGGACAGTTGATCTGTGCAATGTACGAGAAAAAAGGAGTGAGTAACTACATAATGCATATCGTAGACACGTAAAGAACCGATCTAATGCGAACAATCATATCTCTAAAAGACCACGAAACAATCTCGTGTATGATTACATAGCAATTACAATGACAATCTAGTCGGAAATTCATAGCAAAGATCACATGTAACTTCAATAGAGAGAAAGAAATATACTCTACGTGCGAAGATCGCCATTGACGAATAGATTCGGTTAGCGGAGCACTGAAATGCAAAAGGCAAATGACGGTTTGCTACCAAGAAAAAAGACTATATAGTAATATAGGTTCGCTTTTGGGCTACCACGTTCTTTTTCGTTTTTAGTATAAATGGGCCTGGGCCTACAAAAAACAGCTTTGGATAGAGCTGCACATTAGCGGTCTCGGATCGGTTTCTTTTTGGGGTCGGTCTTGGAACGATCCAGTTTTTTCACACCGGCCCCGAACGGTCTCGGGCCGGTCGTTTTCGAGTCCGGTCTTTTTACGGATCGATCTTTTTCGGGTTGGCCTTGGTCTTTTTTCTGTCCAGTTTTGTGGTCTTTTTTTGCGCATTTTTTGGTTGGATTTACGAGTTTTTTTGGTTCGGTTTCGAAATTTTTCGATTCTTTTGTTTCGGTTTCAAGTTTTTTCCGTTAACAAATCTGTGATTAACAACAAATGATAGATTAAAATTTATTAAAAATGGTAATTTAAATTTAATAAAAGAAAAAAATGAAATAAATTACATAATATGAAATTAAAAATTATGTAATTAACACAAAAATGATATATTTATAAAGTTTGGCTACCGACTTTTTTTTACACCGCTCTTGGACCGGTCTCAGTCGGTCTCGGACCGGTCTTGTGTCGGTCTCCGGAACAATTCGGTCTTTTTTGGGACCGGTCTCGAAAATGTTCGGTCTTTTTCGGACCGGTCCTTGACGGTCTCGGACCGGTCTTTTTTCGGTCTGGTCTCGTTTTAGACTTGTTCGGTCTCGGTCCTTTTTTGGGTCCGATCCAATACCGATCTTTTTGTACAGGTCTACTTTGGGACAGAAAGTTACACTTCACATATATTAAACTCCTTAGTGGCATGGTGCCTTATTGAGTCCTAGACTGTGGGGTCCATGGCCCTCTTGCTATTGATTTTATTTTTTGTTTATGAAATAGTGACGAAGCTTTTTCAATTCTGAACTGTTATAGAAATTTAGACTAAGATTGGAGCGGTCTAGAACCCATTGGCGATCCTTTATCTTCAGGTATCCATTGTTTTTTATTGGTCTTGAGTTGGTCCCGAATCGGTATCGGGTCATGCCTAAACCGGTCTTGTGAAAACGAGTCTCAGGTCAAGTTTTGTCTGAACTGGTCTTGGGTCTTCAACGACTAGTTTTGCTTCCAACGACTACTTAACGTTCTAAAATGCTCTTGCATCCATTCCAACAGCTCTTTACAAATAAAAAAAATCCACCAATCTTGTATTTTGTAAATACCTCACTCTTTCCAACTATCTTTCCACCCAAATTTTTCTTTATTTATTCTATTCTTCCATTCTAAGTTTAATTTACTTACAATGTCGAGAGAAGAAGGTAGTATCTATGTCGGTCGGTCTGATTTAGATCCAAAGAGGAATGGAACAAAGGAAACCATACCATAGCGATTTAAAATAATTTCATGAAAAACAAGCAAAACAACAAATATTTGATAGATGTGATTGATGAACAAAGAGTCGTGATTTTTCCACTAAAAGTTTTTATCCATACACATAAAAAATTGTTTATAGACATTTATACCTCTCTATTTAGTTGAAGAAACATATATCAACTGAACTTCCAAGTTTTATAGACTTAATTTATTTTTCTTCTTCGTACCCTGGTTTGCGTCCCTCCCACTGCATATGTGACAATTGAGACAATCGTCACCGACCACCGATTGTAAAAGAACTCGGAAAATGATAAGTATCTAAGCACAAGACTTAGATCTCAATATATAAGAGAAAATCGACCAAATTATGTGTAAATCACATAATTAAGTATGCTAAAAGTTGCGTTAATTAGTGTGAAAAACTAACATATTAGGAAAGTATGTTACAAGACGATTTCAAGGATGTAAATTTCATAAAAATCTAACTTCGATTAGAGGAGTTATGATTTTTGTAGAAAATAAAATCAACCGCATACATAAATTTTACAACGTCAAAACAATACTAAGAGATTGGTTAAATTTTGACTAATGTCATTAAAAGGAAAGTCGTAATATTTCTCGAGTGGAGAACAATAGTACAACAAACGCTGAAAACGGAGGTCGTATGAAGAATATATGATTTTTAAAAAATCATTAAATTTTACCCCGTTAGGCAAAAAGGTGAAAGCCAAAATTAGCTGAAACAACCTAAAGGAAAGTTGTAGTACTAATTGAGACCATTCCGTAGATATAAAGAAGGTAAAGATTAGAACTCGTACGCAAAAGATATGATTTTTACAAAACCAATTTTGTGTGCGCGAGGTGCATGTCTTGCTCGACGCGCATGTCTGACACCTAGATTCGTCGAGATATGAGAGACGTGGACCACCAGGAAGGTGACACGTGGCAAGTTTTGGATGAGCTATATCACACCCCCGAACCAGACGGCGAAATCGTCCGGGGGCTCGTGTGACTATTAATTGAATTATCATCACAGTGAATATACACGAAACATAACACAATCATAACCAAACATTACATATTACAACTGATATTGTTCACATCAAGTACATTGTATTAGGTTACATGTTCCCAAAATATAAATTGTACGATGATTTGACATTACACACAATAAATTTCCTACACTTGAAAGTTCCCCTGCTTAACGGTTACCTGAGAATACAAGTTATTTTGAAAACGGTCAACATATATAATGTTGGTGAGTTCATAAGCATGTTTAAATGAAAGTCATTGTATTGTTTGTAAAACCCAGAAAATACGATATTTTCTGTAAAAAGTCTGAAAAATTATGTGAAAATCGAGTATAGATGCATGTGTGAATTTCATAGTAGTAACATGTATAAGTAAACGATCCAAAATTTCCTTGTATTGTATCTGTTGTAAGTAGAAGGTAATGAAAAATAGTATTTCCCCCAGAAAATCCGATATTTTATGATTTATAAAAGTGTGGTAGTCCTTGCATTATCGTATGAATTGTTTCGTATTAATATGATTTAAGCACTTGAATTCCCGTAATGTACTGATGATAATGGATCTCTGTGTGAGTCGTTATAACCATGCATGATAGTGACTAATATTCCTGTCTTGGCATTTTCCAAACGCCGGATTTTGATCAAGGTTTTGTCACCCTAGACTGACCTAGTCTAACTGTAGCGAACAGCTCAGGTGTGGGGGAGTCACCCCCGTATAGATCTATACACAAACTCTCGCTTTCCCTCCAGGAGACTCTGATTATAACTACAGGCTACGACCATACACTCAATGGAGTCAACTGAAAAGTCTCACTAGATTCCAGTTATTGCCACATGAATATGTATACATTATATGTATTTAGAATTTCGAACACCAGATGATACATGAATATGAAAGGATAAGGCCCAACAAACATGAAGAAAAAACAACTATGGCCCATTAGACATGTAAGTTATTTCCAGGCTTATTAAGTATGTCATAGACACATTAAATCCCATTAAGCATACGATGAATTATTCCAGGCTAAATTAGCATGTAAATGGGCCACTAAGGCCCAATGACATGTAAAGACTAATTTAGGCCCATTAAGCATGTAATTGGGTCACTAAGGCCCAATAGACATGTATTGAATATATTGGGCCCAATAAACATGCAAATGGGTCACGAAGGCCCAATAAGCATGTATAGCAAGTGCTAGGCCCAATGTTCGTACCATTGTTGTATTTCGTTTGTTTGTTATAGTATGAATTCTTTTGGTTGAAACGTTTACCCATAATGGTATAAAAGTCAAATGTTTGGTTATAACGATATTTTTAGTTTATATAAAAAAATATACCATTTTAACCCTTAAGTTATAAATATTTATATCTTCGGTCCAGTTGTTTAATAATTGACATATTTGGCCCAAAAATACATTTTTGGCGATTTCAGCCCCTTTTTCACCGAATATTTTATTTTTAACCCTTGTTTAAATAAAATGACATTTTTGGTCCTTTTTGGTGAAAATAACATTTTTAGCCCATTAGACCATCAAACCTAGCATTTTCGGCACAATTATAAATTTATTTTACAATTTCGGTCCAAAATACGTTTATTGACATTTCCAGCCCTTATTTTGTAAAAATTTACATTTTTGGCCCAATTTCCGAAAACTTTACATTTTTGGCCCGATTTAGAAATAGGTGTCATTTTTAGCCTATATTTTGTTAATTTCCTGTTTTTGGCTCAAGTTTTGATTAAATAACATGTTAACCCCTAAAAACTCATATATTTTGCATTTTGGGCCCAAAAACTATAAGGCTCAATTTTTAAGCCTATTATGCTAAAATTTACCCTTTTGGTCCTTTGAAAAGTGTAATTATCATAAAAACCCAATTTTATGCAAATATGACCTTTTTGATCCTTATAAAAACCGTAAGTGGCAAAATTTCCCAAATCTTTTGTTTACTTGTCAAAAATGATCCTTATACAAGATCTTTGTTTTGTTTTTCACATCTTAGGCATGTATAACACTTTTATCCTTGTAGTATGATGTTTAGAGTGTTTTAGTTTATGGATCTCGCCCATTTTTGTTAGAGTCTTCGAGATTCATCAAGATCTATCACATAATCACAACATAAACCAAGAAAATCACACATAACATGCATAAATACATAGATCTACACATAAACACTTGTATTCTCCCCCAAAAACATGTAAAAACTGAAAACAAGGGGGTATGAACTCACCTTTGCTTGTTGTTCTCGTTTTTAAAGAAGAAATGGAGAGATCTCGGCCTTTAGCAAGCTTTCTTGAGTGATTTTCGAACTTAGGAAGTTTCTAAGAGTATGATCATGGAGTAAAGCTAGGTAAGAAGGAGTTATAAATGTTAAAATGGAAGGAGATGTTTGTGTTTGATAACAACTTACCAAAGGTTGAAAATACTTGATGAAGATCCTTGAAACACAAGCAAAATTTCGAGATCCTTGATGGAAGGAGGAGGATGATCTTGAAAGTGTTTTGGAGAGAATTTGAAAGTGTGTGTGTGTGTTGCTAGCTCTCGGCCGAGAGAGATAAAGCGAGAGGGTGAGGGGAGGTTTTGCATGGAAACATGA